CTCTCTCTCTCTCTCTCTCTCTCTAACACTTTTCCATATACTTAACGATTATTTTCGTTCATTTCAAAGCCCTTGAAATATACTGTAAATGTATGAAAATATAAGTGATTGCAAAACATTTGGTTGTTTTATTGTCAATACTATTATATTTTCTATTTATTATGTATTTATAATACAAGTTAATGAGAGAAACGATATTTCGTTGCCAACAATTGTATAGATTTTAACTTAAATAATACAACAAATAATATAAAGTTTCGTTGTTTCCATAGAAATTTATGTTATATTTTAATTCACCTGTTTTTCTATTGGAGTGAATTAATAATAGGGTAAATTAATTTATTGTTAAAGTAATTTACATTTAATTTACATGTACACTTAATTATTTAAAATGTAATTAGTAAAAATCCTTATCATTTTGAAAATAACATATAATAATAAAGTAAAATTACATGTTTTAAATATTAAATATATTATTGTACTTCATAGAATAAGCAAGATATTTTTTGCTTTATTAAATAATAAAGCTTACGTGACAACAATAATAAAACCATAAACATTTATTAAACATTATTTAAATAAATTAAACTATTAAAGTTTGCATGTTACACAGCACAATTAATTAACAATTAATCAAATTAATAAAATCTATCACGTTAAAATTTACCCATACATTATGCACATTAGAGTTAATATAAAAATCTGGATACTCTAGGCCTAAACGGAAAATGTACCTGCTCTACTTGTTCAGCTGAACTCGTTGATTCAACACTTTCATTGTAACCTAACACAGTCGATGAATGTAAATCAATATTGTCTTTATTCATATTATTTTTAATAGTCAGCATGTTGCCATTTTTAGTGACTTTTTTGATAAATCCCTGGTCCTTATAATGTGACCCCGTATCCAGATGATGTACTAGGTTATTAAAATAATGCAAATAGTCACTGATGCTGAAATAATGTTTAATACACAGGGCTGTTAGAACACAGTTGCCTATGGCCAGTGGTGTTACATATACGATGACCATTGAAGTAAACATGGTGTATATTGTGAATATGGTAATAAAAACTGTAATAAATTGAATATTAAAAGTTATTGTAGTTAACGTTAATGAGATATTAATTACAATTGGAATAAACCAAGAAGAGACATAGTTTTGTATGATAATCATAAGTTAAATTTTTACAAATCAGCTATTTACAATGATAATAAATTTTTATTAAATATATCAGTATATCATGTACTTTGAAAAATAAACTACTGTACAAATGTTTAGCAAAATAAAATGAAATAAGTTGATTATACCTGTGAAAGTGATAAATAAACAATGATTTTGATTGTAGGTGCCATAAATGCCGAGAACAAAAAATATGATTGAAACTACCGTGCTCAATGCGATCACTACAAGAAATGCCGTTTTGCTGGTGAACAGTGAGTTGGGTGTAGACCTCTGGGCCAATGCGTTGGCTATTTGGTCGGTTAGTATGGCCACAATAGTCAGGGTAATTGTGTTGATTAATTGTAGACCTATCACAGACCATTTTTCACACTTCAATGAAAATTTAACTAGATGCATGTTTGATGCTTTTATAAATCAATTGTTTGTATTATTATTACAATTAATTATATATGTTTTTTATTAATTATTATTTAAAATGTTATTGATGATTTCATTTACATTTTAGATAACACACAGTTCAACATTCTCTAATTAATAAAGTAAAAAAATTAATTAATTATTATTAACTATAATACTTTTGTTTGAACACATGATTTAAACAATACCAAACCCCATTGGTAAATACACTAAAATAAAACTATTTTCATGGTTAATTGAAGTTTATGTGTATCATTCAGTGTAGACATAATGATTTATTATGGTCGAAAATAAATTGAATGTTAGTTTTAATATCGATTTTACCGGTTTTGATTGCCAAACAAAGTTATATAAATTGTTATAGCTTTTGCTTAATACCATGTTTAATGTACTGCATATCACAATTATTATTATTTATCATTATAAGTTATAAAACTTTATGTTGTATACAAGAAGTTGTTATAATTACATTTTTCTTATTTATTTTTTATAATTATGCAATTTATTTAAGTGCTATTACAGTACTGTTTGATAAAAAGGTATACAATAACATGTATGTACTGTACCTAAAACATAACTACATAGACAATTTTGAATGTCAATCAATAAACTAGATTGATTTAGTTTATGGTATGATTAACATTGAAATATTGCGCTAACAATTGCAAGTAACTGTTGCCATACAATTATTATAGTCTGTTATAATGGATGTTGCGAAACTTATTTATGCATATTGGTTGTTTTAAAAACTCTATGGTAACTATAGAAATGTATTATAAATCACCTAGACTCAAAACACTATTAATTGTAGTAAAAAATTGTAGTAAAAATATACTGTGTTAATTAACAAATAAAGTTGTCATATAGTAGGGTAGATTTAAAATAATTAACAACCAGTTAATTTAATTAAAAAACATAGTACATTTATTCATACAAAAAATACTTATACAGGTCATTTATGATTAAAGCAATTCATTAAAACAAAATCATAAAACACAAAAAACACTTTTAATTAAATTATTAATTAATAAAAAAAAATCTCCAATTAATTCGTGAGGATTCAATAATTTATAAACAATTTGTTTGGCATTCAGTTAGATCTGTACCCCTGGAGGGAAAAGAGGGTCATATATGGGGCAGGGTGTGGGGGTAGTGCTACCTTGAGGGCACCGGGAAATGGATAGGGTCACAAAACAATTTGTATTAAAAAATGCAATTAAAAAACTATTTATTTATAATTAAATTCATATATAAATCCCTAAACACTTTACACACCAATCATAAAACAGCCATTGGGTGTCAATGGCTAATAAACTGGAGCTCCGGGGCGTCAAACGTGTGGCCGGCGGTCACTCCGGGTGCGAACCCCGGCTGCGGTGGCGGCGGCTGTGAGGGCACAGCCATCGATGGCAGAGGTTGTTGTTGTTGTTGATGTAGTAAACCATCAAAACTCTGTACGGAAGCGCTCGTTGCGATACCAAACGTATCGAGAGTACCGGCGCTGGGATACCCGCCCTGACCAGCGTTCGCGTCGGTATAGTAGCCTAACTGGCCGTACAGTTCCCGCAGTATCAACAGCGCAGTGTCCTCCGACTGCCAATAGCAGGCGTGCGCTGCCATCGCAAACAAATACTCATTAAACGCTTCCACCGGTGACTCCTGTAGCACATAATCGATACGACGACCGGAGTTGAGCGCACCGGCGCTGAGCGCCTGTTCCGCGGCCGGTGTCTCCTCCGACAGGCCGTCGATCGTTTGACTGCTGCCGTCGCCGTCCAGACCGTACGCGCCGTCAGTATCGCTATTGTCGGCGCCGGGAGTGGGTATCAGCGGGCGGTGCGCTCGAGCGAACTCATTGATCGTAGACCACGTATACCGCAGGCCATCGTAGATACGATTCTTAATGTCGGTGCCAACCCGCGCGATACTGTCCCTCAACTCCAGGTGCATACGTTTGCGGCCCTTATGGTGCGGTACGAGCACCGGCTTAATGTCTTTGAACGCGCGGTATATCATCGGCTCGAGTCGGTAGGCTATGGGGTCGTACGGGTGGAAGATGTTGTAGACGGCCGGACAGGTGGGCAGCCGGTAGTCGGGTGACAGGCAATGAACGCCCCGTACGGTGAGAAACATAGGCAACGGTGAGCCCATGGCGAACAGGGCTGATGGCTTGAACGCGAGGGTCGGGTAGTTTATGGCTGGGAAGCCCAGCGTCTGACCACCAGTGGGGCTGTTGTCTACTGTTTGCGTCGGTCTTGTAGTCAGTGGTGGTGTTGTTTGCGTGTGTATTGAGTCCGCATTGGCTGCGGTGTCGTGTGTGGCCGGTTGTGGCGGGCAGTTGTCCACCGGTTGGTGGGCCAGTATGTCGAATACGATTAGTGAGCCGAGACTGTGGCCGCCGAGGGCTACCGTTCCGCAAAAGTTCGGGTTTCTATTGGTTGGCAAACAAATAATGTATTAATTAATATAAAATGTTTATTAAATCTAAAGTAGTTTATAAAATACTTATAAATAGTAATAAAACTAATCGGCAATTAATATAAACCTCATTATAACAGTAAATGTATGTTTTGTGATTACTCATTATAAACGTTTTGAGTTATGAGTAATTTATCCTGGTACTTTTATCCGGGTACTTTTATCCTGGTACTTTTATCCGGGTACTTTTATCCGGGTACTTTTATCCCGGTACTTTTATCCGAATACTTTTATCCGAATACTTTACTGCACTATAATTAACCATATAACAAAACCTTATTAACTAACCCAGCTAACAATAAACACAACATTAAATTGTCACACTAAACAAGCTTAATAAAAAATATAAAAACACTAACTATAAAACACATCACTATTATACCACTAGGTGTAGACTGTATTAACAAAGCATAACAAGGTGCACGTACCGTGTACAAAACAGGTCAAACAGCCGGTTCATCTCGCGGGCCACACTGTCCACAATGGTCTGACAATAGACGGGACTCGTATAGAACAGGGCGTCCAAAATGGTATCGTTGGAAAAGTGCCTCAACTTGGGTATACTGTCCAGGGTGATCTGCCGTAACCGGTCATCGATGCCGGTCTCGTCGCCGTGCAGTGCCTGGTGCCACGATATGGGCAACAGTTCCACGCGGCCGAGTTGGCCCGACTCCATGTAAGACCGGTAGTGGACACGCATTTGGCCCAACGCTATCGTACGGAAGTCGTCCACCACTTCGATGATTGAGCGAAACCTGTTGTGTGAATACAAGTGTTAATGAGTTTTATCGAGAGAGAGAGAGAGAGAGAGAGAGAGAGAGA